AACGTTGCCGCAGCCGTAAAAAACATTCAGGATGTTTATCAGGATGAAACACCAGCTAAACGAACTGTGGAAAAATGGTTTGCTAAATTTCGGCGCGGAGAATTTAACCTTGAAGACGAGCCACGCTCTGGTCGACTTTCTGACATTGATGACGATGTTTTGCGTACTTTAGTGCTCAATAATCCGCGAATTTCAACAGAAGAAGTTGCTACAGCACTAAACGTTGACCGATCAACCGCTTTTCGGCGTTTAAAAAAGATGGGATTCGATTTGAAGCTCGATATATGGGTGCCCCATTTGCTGACCGAGAAGAACAAAATCAAGCGAATTTCTGCAGCCGTTTCTTTACTCGGGCGGCTCAATAACGAGTCGTTTTTGGATCGACTAGTGACGGGCGATGAGAAATGGGTCCTCTACAACAATGTTCAGCTCAAACGGACATAGAAACAATCAGGTGAGCATGGTGACGCAATGCCAAAGGCCAGTTTGCACCCGATGAAGGTGATGCTCTCTGTTTGATGGGATTGCAAGGGCATAATCTATTTCGAGCTTCTCCCCGCTGGCGAAACGATTGATTCGGACAAATACTGTCGCCAATTAACCAATCTGAATCGAGAAATAAAAGAGAAACGTCCGATTTTGTCAAATCGCAAGGGAGTCGTCTTTCATCACGACAACGCCAGACCACACGTTTCGAAAAAGACGCTGCGCAAACTGAAGAGCCTGAAATGGGATGTCTTAACGCATCCACCGTATTCTCCTGATATCGCACCATCTGACTATCACTTGTTCCGGTCATTGCAAAATTATTTAAATGGAAAAAACTTTGACTCTTTGGAGGCCTTAAAAAACGGCGTCTCTTCGTTCTTCGAATCTAAACCGCGCAGTTTTTATGATCGAGGCATCCGTATGCTGCCAGAACGTTGGGAAAAGATTATAGAAAACGATGGAGAATATATCATTGATTGAATAAAGATTTTTGTTTGCCTAATCACTGTGTGACTTTTACTCACAAACTCCGCACGAACTTTTGCACTCACCCAATATAATATGTTTTGCGAGCTGTGAGCGTTCTTTATTTCAAATATTGCACAATTACGTGATAATTAAATAGTATCATTAAATTTAAAGATTAATTTACTGATCAAGCGTATACATAGGAGTATACATATTTGTAACAGTGATTAAAAATAAAGTTTTGAATTAATGTCTTTTAAGAGCTCTCTTTTTATTTTTTTATAATGGAAAATACAAAGAACTTATTTAAAATTCAAATTGTGTGATATACTCACGTCACAGTCTATATTTATTTATTATTGTTTATGCACGTTAGCCTTTCAATACTTTCCTTACATGTTTCGATTATTGCGAAGAATATTGCTATAGCCTCAATGATCAAGTTGGTTAATAAAATAAATCATCTCTTTCTCTCACTTTCTGTCGCTTGCTTGCTGGCATTCGCTGCTCTCTGCTTCTTCAGCGCCTCTGGTGTCGGAAAAGCGAGATGCATACATATCCCTACTTCTGTACATCTTGCGTTTCTTACTTTCTTACTGAATCGAAATTTTCCGTGATTCGGACTTTATCTTAATATAACTCTTTTCAGAGACAACGTACACAAAAAACATTTTTCTTCCTATTTTTTAAGGCCGAATCGATTGGGACTGAAAACATCTCGATCGATTTAGGTATTACTGAGATATGAATATCTCATCTCGTTTCGACTCGCAGTTTCGCGTAATAGGCACGGTGCGCCTCGCGTTGTTCGGTCACAACTTCGTTGCGCTTGAACTTGGCACGAGGCATTATCGTGCCTCTTGATCTCTTTACCTATTCTCTTATTTATTCTGCTTAATTCCGTAATATTTATTTTTCAGTTTTACTTTTTTAAACATCTTTTTTTAATTTAATGAGACTTGGCTGCTATCATAAACGATCACGGTGCAAAGTTAGTTGTACTTGTCATAACTGGGAGCATTACAAATATCATTATCAACAAAGTCAATGAGTGACTTTTGCGGCAACCTTTGCATTATCGTTCGAAAATAGGTGCAAGCAACTCGTCATATTGACCTGTATGTTGATGTTACACTCTGTACAAATTTCGGTAAAACTTCAGAACAGGGCTTTTCCCGAATTTTGATATATTTTTACTACTTACTGGATACAAATCTTTGTTGTGACTATAACAATGATAATCAATGGGGTAAGCCCGAAAAAAATGTTACAGACCTATTTTTTTCAAGTTTTTTCGGATCTTATAAAACTCTGAAAGAAAACTGCACCAAATTTGAAATATTGAGTAAAAGTATAAAAACTCAATGAACTTTAACCCCTTAACTGTGGATGACGTGTATAGCCATATGAAAAAGTCGTGCCACCAGTGTGGATGACGTGTATACACGCATCGAAGAAAAAAATAGTAAAACTATTGTTTTTTGCATACAGGTAAGTATCTATATGTTTTTGGAGTCGCTGAATCCGAATTTGATATCAAAATTTCGAAATTCAAAATGGCGGATTCAACATGGCGAGTCAAAATTATAAAAATAATCGGATTTTTACGAAAGTGGGTATCTATATGTTTTTGGGGCCGCTGAATCCGAATTTGATATCAAAATTTCAAAATTCAAAATGGCAGATCCAACATGGTGAGTCAAAATTATAAAAATAATCGGATATTTATGAAAGTGGGTATCTATATGTTTTTGGGGCCGCTGAATCCGAATTTGATATCAAAATTTCAAAATTCAAAATGGCAGATCCAACATGGTGAGTCAAAATTATAAAAATAATCGGATATTTATAAAAGTGGGTATCTATATGTTTTTGGAGTCGCTGAATCCGAATTTGATATCAAAATTTCGAAATTCAAAATGGCGGATCCAACATGGCGCGTTAAAATTATAAAAATCATGAAAATCTGATTTTCAAAATTTAGATCCGCCATTTTTAATTTTAAAATTTTGATATCAAATTTGGATTCAGCGATCCAAAAAACATATAAATACCGACTTTCATTAAAATCTGATTATTTTCATAATTTTGACACACCATGGTCGATCCGCCATTTTGAATTTTGAAATTTTAATATCAAATTTGGATTCAGCGACCCCAAAAACCCTTATTATAAAAATATCATAAAGACGTTTTTGTGTTGGAAAAAATATCATTCGACATTTTTTCCAACACAAAAATGGCACGACTAGTACATTTCTGCCTCCATAGTCAAGGGGTTAATAAACCAAAGACATAAACTATTCTCCGCTATAATTTAGACTTTATAATATAAATTTGTGCTTTTGATTAAAGCAGAGCGTGATTGTAAATAATGCTCTGCTTTATTTTACTTGTAATTTATAATATGTCCTATTGTAATATGTCCTATATGTCCTATGTACCTATATATAATATGTCCAATACTTTGCGTAGGGGTCTTGCTAATCTTTTCAGTATCCATTTTTATTATATTGTAGACTTATCTGTTTAGTAAAGCGAAAAATTCAAATAACAACTGTGAATGGTATTTAATCAGTATAAAATCGATATTTAAAATTTTAAATATATGGAATAAAATTTTCATGTTTTTCCTATAAACATCTTAACCTTCCTCCCCCCTCCCTTAATATATATGTAAAACTTTATACATGTTTTTTTACAGCTAGTTTTGTAAATTACTGAACAAGAAAACGTAGTTTTTGGTATAACAGTACTTCTGAATATTTACCAAAAGAATTGTTAAAAAAATAAGCGGGTAACTTTTTTTCGGGCTCTCCCGATTGATTAACACTGTCGGACTCATAACAAAGATTTTTACCATGAGAGTAGCAAATAAATATCAAAACTCGGAAAAGGTCCTATTCTAAAAGTTTTACCCAAGTTTCTAAAATATAATTAATACCTATGAAATGGGAAGATAAGGGTTTTGGGGCAAAATGTTGACAGTTCCTTAGATAAAAAATTGTATAGTAATTTTTATGACAAAATTTCCTTTATATTATTATATCACAGTTGTTGAGAGCATTTTACAGTATACTGTAAACTTTACAGTATACTGTAAAGTTAATGATAATAAACTTATGTGTTATTATTGCATTTTTATCAGAAAAAAAGTAAAAGAGAGAAAGTTTGTCATCAACAATTGCTATAATTTTAACGAGATTAACTAGTTCTTTTGTTCTCAGTGCGTGAGATGTCGAGTGTTATATTTCTCCGCGATTAGAAAAGCACGTCTGTGCGTTATTTCTCTGTGAAGTCACGAGATAATATTTCTTGGTATATTCCTCGTTGTATTTTTCCGAGTGTTTTATGCCGTGATTATTGAGATAACGCGATTACAGCGGAATTTATCGCTCGCGATATTACATTGAATCCGAAAAACACGATATTCGCGTGACTACCCGCAGAGATCTCCACTAAGTACTGCGTTGATCAATTTTGCACCGAACTCGATAAGAAAACTCGGGCGAATTTAATTAGATCCAACGACGAGAGTCTCTGCAGTTTAAAGACCATTGACCGTGTGACGTCTGCCGCAGCTGACGGCGGCGATAAGTTCCCGCTGTGAAATAAAGTTCAAAAGAGATACGAGGAGTTCTGCATGCGCAATGAGAGAGGAGATCGCGAGATCGCACCGGCCGTATGTCGGGCGTAGGCGGTGGTGTATCGATGGCACGACACAACATGTCGCGCGCGATCGTGACGAGGGACGCACGCCGTCGAGGACGAGGCGCGTCCGAAACAAAACGTGCCGGTGCGAATCATGCGTGAAAAACTCTCGAGCGGGTCGCGACGAGTGACGAAAGCAATTTGTCGGAGATGCGCGTTCAATGAATCCAGAGTTAATTACTGGGTGTCATGTCACACGCGGAAAACGGAGAAACTCAAACAGAGAGAGAGAGAGAGAGAGAGAGATATGGAGAGAAAGAGAGGGGGGAGGGAGAGAAAATAAAGAAAGCCGTTCCGTCATATGTGCGCGGCACATGGAACACGTAACGTACCGGGAACTCTCTTCAATCGCGGCAGGAACTCGTTCCAAAATGCACAGGCTGTCGTGCGGGGACCTCTGCCGAAGCCGCTCTTCTCCGCGTTCCAGATAAAATACTGCGGATGGTTCTTGCTGTAAGGCGGCCAGTCGGACTCCTCCACCGTCGGCAACCTGAAAAATAATTCAGCAGGTGAGGCGATACGTCACTCGCAAATCACGCGCTCCGGCTTTCCATCTACGAGCGGGTGTTGCGATCGACAGGGCCTAGGCGGAGGCGGCAAAGGCGAAGCGATGGAAAACGAAGAGTAACGAAGAGAGGAAGGCACGGCAAGTTGGATGCAGAACTGTTCGAACTTCAAACGGAATCGAGATGGGAATCTTTGTCTCTGATAGAGGAAGCGCGGTGCGCGGTTTGCCCGCTGGAAGAGCTATCGGGAGCTAAGCACAAATGCGAACGTTTGTTGGGAACGTATGAGAGGGAGAGGGATGGCGAAAGAGAGAGAAGGAGAGGGAAGGAGGTGCGAGAGAAGGAGAAAGAGTAAATGGGAAAAGCTGTGATGCGACGTTACCTAACATACGTTTCGTTATCTAGCGGAATTCGCGCGCAAAAGTCTCGTCGCTAATGTATATACGCAGGAGTAGAAGGGTGAGGGGGGAGAGGGGGAGAGATGTAACGAGAAATCGGATGCCCCTTTGGGTTTTTCGCCCATGCATTCCGCCAGCGTTCTCAGATGTCTCGTGAAATTTTAACTATCAGGCAGTTTCTCCCCCGCGATTTCAGTTATCTCGATATTGCAGAACAAATTGCGAGAAAGCGAACTGTTTGAAATATTCTGCGAGCAGCAGAATATTTCAAAAAGTTTTAGCAAGTACACTTTTTTTCTGCATATATACATCGTGGAATGATCGATATCTTGAGGAGAATTCGAAGCGGTACCGGTGATTTATGCGAAATTCGATATGTGCACACGCGTATCCGTAATTTCGGAATATCGTCGCTTTTCTCTCACGATTTCGCGAGACAAAATCTGATTAATTTGTTGGGATACCTAAAATGGCAAGGGAAGGGCTTCTTGTTTGCCGAGGACGTATGCGGGAAAATAAATGGCGGAGAAGTGCGCCGCGGCGTTACCCGCATACATCTCGCTGCGTCGTTAATGTACAGAGTGTATCGGGAGATATTGGATACACTCCACAGTGTTTATCGTCCTGGAAACATATTTTGAAAAGGAAGTTCTCTCTCCTCCCTTTAATCCCGCTTTATATTCACCAAAAATACCAAACTGATAGCATCACCAGTCCAAAAGTCCTTCAAGTCCCTCAATTCCTGCAATGATGAATTATCGTCCTAGTCCGAAGGCGACCATTTCCTTCCAATCTCGATAATTCTGCTAATTGAGTCTCACTTCAATGAGGAATAAATAGGCGTGTACGAAGAGCGTGGGAGTTTTAGCTTTCCAACGGTTTTTACTTCAAGTTGCTACGATTACTAGAAACGAAGATATTGAGCCATACTCTCAATGGACTTGGCGCTATCAGAATGAAGTGAACGTTGCATCTGCATGGGCGGCCGGCAGATCCACGTTCTCATTGCGTAGCGTGCTTATATTATGCCGCTGGAACGCGGACTTGCCCCCACCCTTGCGCTTTATCATCTAACTGCACGATGTCGCGATCGTTCACCTCATTCTCATTCTTACAGAAGCACGCTGTATTTTGACGTACAGTGCGTATTGTATTGGTATATAACGTCGAGGAAGTTAGGTTAGTTTAGGTTAGGTCAGCTTAGAGTTAAGCTAGGTTAAGTTAGGTTAGGTTATAAAGTTTGCCAGTAGCGAGCGTGGTGTAACTTTAAAGGACTGTAACTCGTTAACGAGTCGATGCAGAAATACGAAATAAAAAACGATTTTCTCGACGCACCGTGCTGCTCGCGTCTATTTCGCTCTTGTTGCCAATCCACAGAGGGCTGTAGACGAGCGATGCACGATCGATGGCTCGAGAAGTCGAGAATAGTACTCCAATCGCGATGGGACGCGTCTCGAATCGCGTGTAAAATATGTGTCTGACAGTTGCGTGAGACACTGACTTTTTATTAGAAATATATATGAAGGGAAAGATATCAGATACTGGTGCTAAGCGACTGCTTTTTATTTCTCTCTGTTAAATAATAATTGTCTTAAAAAAAATTCTTGATAATGATTTTGAAATATACTCATCACAATTTCATACAAAGGTATTAATGTGAGAAAAGTGAAACTTATGAGGTTATATAAGGTAAGTGAAAACAGATAAGGTTATACATGTAAGAAAAAGGCTTATCTTTTTCAAGAATGTTTTAAAACTTATATTGTACATAAAGAAAGCATATTCAATTTTTGTATAATCTACAAATAAAATTTGTTTAAAAAATAATTGTATAATTTTTAATAATCTGGATTGAAGTAGTAAACCTACAAAGATTTAGAATGTATTTTGAATAAACTTGAAATACTTGAAATAAGTAATAATATTTACTTGAATGTAATATGTATTTTTTGCTCAAAAAGTACCCGAAATTGTCCATTTAAATGACGCGCGTTTATGATATTTCAAAATCCTTTTGCGATTAAGTTGGTACCACTGTACTTAACTTCCATACAGAATTGGAACACGATCTATTAATTAGTTTGTTCGTGGCAGTTGTTTATGTCAGTCGACTTCATATATCATCTGCGATTTTTACGATGTCAAATATTGTGGAGCAAGGAGTTTGCTTTAAATTTTGTGTTTTCAACGAAATTTCTTGTGCCGACGAGTTGAAAACGCTGCACAAAATATATGGGCATAACAATATTTCAAAAACACAGGCGTATGAGTGATATAAGTAAGTTGTTCAAAGACGGTCGTACAGGTGTCGAAGATTTGCCTCATTCGCATGCTCTTCGGTCGCCCTTCTATGTCAAAACCGACGAAAAACAGTGAACGTTAGAAAAGTTAGAAGAAATTAGTGCTTGAAAATTGCCGCGCGAGTGAAAGAGAGATTACTGTCGAGCTTAACATGTCGATGGGTTCTGCCCATCCTATTTTGACCGAAGACAGCTCATGGATTTTGCATCACGATAATGTACCATCGCACACGTTGCTTCTCGTACGTGACTATTTGGCCAAACACTCGACCAACATATAATTCCGCAAGCACTATACTCGCCAGGTATGGCACCCTGTGACTTCTTTCTCTTCCCAAAACTCAAATTATTGCTTCGTGATAAGCGTTTTGAGACGACTGAGGCAGTAAAAGAGAATTTGCTGAAGAAATTCAAGGCCATACCAAAATCGGCTTGATGAAAAGTGTTTTGAAGATTTTGGATTAAGCGTTGGCATATGTGTGTTGTACAGAATGGGAACTATTTTAAAGGGGACAAAATAAATTTACCTGAATAACCTGAATATTTTGTGTTTTATTGTCCGATTCCGGGTACTTTTTGAGTAGAAGGTATTTTTATATATGCATTATACAATGCGAAAAGCTTCTATATAAAATTCGATATTGAAAATAATTAAAAGTTTCGAATAATATAAATTGGATTTCAACGCTTCAAATGTTCGAATTGTATTCTAAGATTCGAGATATGAAGGCCTTAATAGAATTAATTTTGTACTTATTTAGTTATATATGTTTCTGAGTTCTTAAAGCTTTGAATATTAAACGTTCGAATATTCGAATGTTCGTAATTCATGAAATTTATTCAAATATAATATTTCATGAATTCACAAAATCGAAGTTTCGAATCTTCGAAGAACTGAAGCTTCATATCTTATTTATAGTGTGATTTAGCTTTACTTTTTACTTTTAGTTTTGACATACTCGATTTTAAATATTCTTTTATTCGTAGATTTCTCGCTGATCTCCTTTATCATAATGCGAAAACGTTTCATTCCTTAGGAAATGCTAGGAAACGTTGAAACTCTACGACGTGACGGTGTTCGTTATCGAATTTCGAAATAACTTCTTCTTTTTCCCCGAAACTTAATTAGAGTTCTTTAACAAGTGAAAAAAAAGTGAGAGAGAAAGAAGAGCTCGTCGATAAATTGAGTTTCAGAGCTACAAGCGGATGAGAAATTCTCATACGTGTCGATTGTGGTGATGAACTTTTGTCTTACGCACTATATATTATAGCGAGGGCGGATCCCGCAAATATCGCGCGCGCTAAGGTAACACGTCGGTCGAACGTTGGAAGGAATAAAGCGCGTATCCCGCCCGCAAGGCGCGCGATACATCATAATAACCTTAAATCCCGATAAATCCATCCACGATAGAACAAGAAACCGCTCTTTCTTCCTGTTTTGGCCGAAATGTTGATAGCTGGAAGCTCGTTTTGTGCGAAAGTTTGGGAAGCACGAGAATAAAAAAGAATAATATATTCATTTGAATTTTTGCGTAATTAATTTGACTAGTTTAGTATAATTTTAATGTTCGGACTTTATGATACATACTTAATTAAACACGTAAGAATAAAAGAGAGGGAAAATGAGATAGACATACAAAACGGACGAAATTGTATTAAATTGAACGAAATTGAAGATACATTTGCTTTGCCGTATATTTAATCGGCGTTATATATGTAATCAAAGTCGGCAAATATAATTAATTAAATGCATGATTAATTCATTATAAACTCATGCTCGGTGAGGAGAATTCGGGTGTTTTCAATGAAAATTAAAGCAGGAAAAATTCTGTGAAAAGTTCTCGATTAGAAAGCGAATTTTCAACGCGACTCGAGATTTTGGAATCTAGATTATAATCGCGATGAAAACGATGCCAAACTAAGCTGCTTACTATATATTGCCTATCGTGCTGTAGACATTTTTGTTGACAGCAGATCTTCTCGTACATTTTGTCCATAATTAAGATCTGAGAAAATTATTCCTGCATGTTAAATTGCACGTACGCGGCGGAATATTAACATTTTCGCGTTAACAAATGGAAGTTTAAGTTTGAACGTCGGACCAGCGAGTTGCCGACTAACTTACTCTTTTTCGCAGTTATAATTTGAATTTAAATTAACTTCGTTTCACATCTGTAAACTTGTCTGCGAACGATGTCGGCATGCTTAGTGTGTTGCTTACATTTACAATTTTGCGCGCACACTGGACATATCAACTGGAACGTGCGAAAATTCCTATTGAATATT